CCTAATGCTGTGACCCTTTAGTATAATTCCTCATGTTGTGGTAATCTCCAACCATAAAATTATTTTTGTTGTTATTTGATAACTGTAATTTTGCTACTGTTATGAATCATAATGTAAACACTTCAATTTTCCAATGGTCTTAGGCAAACCCTGTAAAAGGGTTGTTTGAACCCCAAAGGGGTCATAACCCACAGGCTGAGAATTGCTGCTCTGGAACCATGCGCAAAATAAACTTCTACTGGTCACAAATGACCCACCTTGAGGTAATCGGTGATAGCAGCACAAATGGACTATGACCCTCCCATTGTCACCTGCTCATCACCTGGCAACCAAGTTCTACTTTCCAGGTCTGCTTGTTGACTACTCTGAATGGAGCCACACAGTATCTATCCTACAAATGAAATCAAATTGTTATTTTGTATCTGGCTTACTTTACTTAATACAATGTCCTAAAGGTTCATCCACACTGTAGCATGTGTCCTGGAGTGATTAAGGCTCTCTTGACATGCATACGCTACATTTCCTTATCTACTGATCATCAATGGCCACAGGTTGTTTCTACCTTTTGGCTATAGTGAATAAGGTTATGCATACTGGAGTACAAACATCTGACAGTCTGCTTTCAATTCTCCTGAGTATATATCCAAAAGTGGGGTTGCTGGAGAAGATGGTAATTTCATTGTTAACCTGAAGTAACATCAGTTTGCCATCATGGATCACCACTTGTTTCCATGACAACAATGTACAAGGTCACAGATTCCTTCACATCCACATAAACATTTATTTACTGCTTAAAAAAAAAAAAAAACACATCACACATTAGTGGGTGTGAGGCAGTATCATACTGTGGTTTTGATTCGCATTTCCTTGAGTTGAACTGAGACTCTGAACTAGAAACAGTACTAGCACAACCAAAAAATGATTGGGGGTGAGGGGGAAGGTAAAAAAGTGCTAGTGTACTCAAAGTGGTAGGCTGGCTAGAAGCTGTTTCTACATCATCCCAGTGTAAAGAACCTCATGAAGCCCAATCCTCCTCCGCCTCCAGACAGCAGCATCCACATCTTACCAAGTAGATGATGGTCTCTGGGAATCCCAGCCTCAAAGTCAGAAAAAAACTGACAAAAACTGTTGGAGTGCTACACGGATCTATCCAGTTTTTAAAAAAAAAAAAAAAAAATGACTGTGGAAACAACGCTAAACGGGGCAGGAGGCTCAGTTACAGCTAGTCTGTCCCCACACCTCAACCTGGTCACAGAAACATCAGGCGGCCGTTGCACACTCAGGCTGGCCTACCGAGCTGTCCTTCCCCACCAAAACACAAACACAAAGATCCAGGCTTTGATTCAAAGTAATCCAAGAGAGGGTGGGGATGAAAATGAAATAAAACCAGCTGTGAGCAGTTCATTTCTGAAGCCAGATGATGGAAACATGAGGCTTGTTACATTTTTCTATTTTCCCCCATCTGAAAAAAGAAAACTCAGAAGCCATATGGACTTAGCACGCCATTTCCTACTTTTTCTGAAACCTTGTAAGGGAGAAAACAGGCAGCTGAGATCAATGTTTCTCAAGGATAACACCAGGCTTTTCAAGGTCACTAGGTCAGGAGGCCAGGCTGTATCCAGGTGCCCAGCATAGGCTGGCTTACTCTCCTCACTGAACTGTGAGCTTCGCAGGTCCACTCCCACCTAGGAGGGCATTTTCTAACTGTCCCTGTTTGTTCCCTCCTGTTCTGCCCCAGTGCTCACTAACAAAAATGATTAACTCTCAACCACATACACTAACTGCCAAGTCTGCAAAAATCCTTAAAGTACTACTACATACTTCAATCCAGCAGGGTCGCCACAATTCTGGATTCTGTTTGAATTTGCTACTGCCAGTGTGTAAGCAAGTGAGTAGTGTTCCTTGAATCTGATATAAAGAGCCTCTGAAGGACAGAGGAGACCAGGGACTTGGCCATGACAATGAGGGTATAGTGTCACCTGCAGCAATTAGGATGAGTCAAAGGTCAAGTCAAAAGCCAAGCAGGCAAGGTCAGGACCCTTGCTTGGGAAAATACGGAGCACAGGCTCTCCATATAGAGAGTAAAATGCAGGTCTGAGAAGCCCTGAAATATATGGCAAGAATGGTGTACAGGTCTCTGACTAAGAACTATAGTTTACAGATCACTGACTGCATGCTTATGAAGGGGACTGTGAGGGTCTAGTCCACTCCTCACCTTTTTTGCTCCCTGGCCACGAGGAGAGCAATTTGATGCCACATACTCTACACCAGTGCCATCTGACACCCCCATCAGAGACTAAAATCAATAGTCCAGGTGATCGTGGACCCTCTTAAAATGTGTGCCAAAAATAAACCTCTCTTTTTATAAGTTAACCATCTCTAGTATTTTGTCATAGTGGTAGAAAGCAAACACACACACTGATGTCCAGCAATGCCCTATGTCAGGAACTAAGATGAGGATGTTGGTGAAAGACCATCTGAGCACAGGAAAGTCAAGAGGTAGAAGACCAGGCATTCCACCTTATTTCTCTAGGACAGCAAACTCTAAGTACACAGAGATAAATTGCCAGGACATGACGCCATAAAGCTGAAGTTGAAAAAGTAGGAACTGGAGGGTGGAGGGTTCAGTAGTAGAGCATGCATGGGCCCCAGTTTTCTATCCCCAGTACTAAGGCAAAGAAAGGGGAGCAGAAGGAGCAGAAAGGAGAGAGGAGAGGAGTGAGAGGGGAGGGATAGAGTCTTAATAAACTCGCCCACTTCTCCAGCTCACTGATAAACACCAAATCCACAACAGAAGCAAAAGAAATTACCACCTGCCCTGTCCCCATTCTCCCCTTGACCACAGTGACCAGTGTGCTTGCTGATATGAAGCTTCTACACATGAGCATGTCCCCTCAACTTCCCACACAGAGCCAGGGTCTGCTAGCCCAGTCCTGACGGCAAAACACGCACGATTTAACTCCCCAGATCCCTGCTCCAGCAACTGTCCTTGAAAGAACTGTCAGTCATCACTTCACTCCTTCACTGGCCACTGGTTCACTGGCCAGGCCCATCTCCTCCATCTCCAACCAGCCATGGTAACTCGGGCTGTCCTGCTGCAATACAGTTGACGGCTCTTTCCTACCAGAGAAGCCTACAAAACCTACAACCTCCTTTTTACCTCAGGCTTGTCCTTCACCTAGCCTCAGCATCTCAGGAAATACTCAAAACTCTCCTCAGCCAGTATGCACACTCATTTTGGTGCTCTCTCCCCACCCACATCTTCCTGAGATGCATCTCTAGGCTGTCACTGGCACTTTCATAAGGCCAGTCAAGGAAAAACCTCAAGCTTTCCACGCACAGCCACCAAAGTTCCATCTCAGAACATGGCTCAACCGGCCTTCTCCTTCACTCTGCAGTCGCTCTGCAGTCCGTTCACACCACCCAATACATACATAAACCCTCCCGAGAGTTACAGAAATAGAAAGCCAGGTATGGTAGTCTACGATCATAATCCTAGCTAATCAGAAGGCTGAGGCAAGGGGATCGTAAGTTCAAAGCCATCCTTAGTAACTGTCTTAATCAGCGTTTCTATTGCTGTGATAAAACACCATGACCAAAAGTAACTTGGGGAAGAAAAGATTTATTTTACCTTGAAGGTTACAGTCCATCACCGAGGGAAGTCAGGGCAGAAACTTAAGCATAGTAGGAGCCATAGAGGAGTGCTGCTTACTGGCTTACTTCTCATGGCTTGCCCAGCCTGCTTTCTTACAGCACCCAGGACTACCAGCAAAGGGTGGAACCATCCATAAAGGGCTGGGCCTTCCCACACCAAATCACTATAGATTGGCTGCCTATAGGCAAATCTTATGGAGTCATTTTTCTCAATTGAGAGTTGCTCTTCTCAAATGATTCTAGCTTGTGTCAAATATTAAACTATCCAGGGTAGCAATTAAAATGATCTGAAAATAAAAATTAGAGGGAGCTGGGGATGTAGCTTAAGTGATAGAGTGCTTCTCTAATACGCACAAGACCCTGGGCTCAAATCCTAGCACTGCAAAAGAAGAAAAGAGGTAAATAATAATTCAATACCGGTTGAGACCTGTACGACCCGGGCTTCTGAACACCTGTCCTCGCCTCTGTCACCTGTCACTCAGCTCCAGTCTCACGGTTACCAGTTGTCCTCTGCACAGGCTGAGCTCACTTCTGCCTCAGGACAGGCAGCCAGACAGCCTTTGCAACTACCATTCTGACTGGATCTTTCCTCTTCAAACCCCACTGGGCTGCTTCCTCATTAATACTCGGGTCTCAGGCCCCTAGCTCACTTTCTGCACCCTCGGTTCAGTACACTCTGCCAAACACACAACCCTACCCTGCCTCCCCTCCAGAGCTACCCTGCCTCCCCTCCAGAGCTACCCTGCCTCCCCTCCAGAGCTACCCTGCCTCCCCTCCAGAGCTACCCTGCCTCCCCTCCAGAGCTACCCTGCCTCCCCTTCAGAGTTACCCTGCCTACCCTCCAGAGCTACCCTGCCTACCCTCCAGAGCTACCCTGCCTACCCTCCAGAGCTACCCTGCCTACCCTCCAGTGCTACCCTGCCTATACCCTCCAGTGCTACCCTGACTACCCTCCAGAGCTCAGCAAGTTAATACCATTTTTAGTAAACCACTTTATGACCCTCATCAACTATCCCCTCCCAGGACATAGTAGAGAACCTGGCCCACAAAGTCCCTGTGTCTTGTCAAGGCATCGCCGGGATAGGAGGGCAGCACTCCGAGACTGTTTCCAAAGGCTCCCTGAATCCTCCAGACTGGGTTGGAGCCCTTAGTCTGGCTTTCAGTCACCTTGGTCCACTCATGACAATACTCCTGCCTAGTTCTATAAGGACAGGGACCATGGAACCTGCAAACCACCTCTTCCCAAGGCCTCATTCAAGCTGGTCATCAGGAATAAACAGAGAATCATGACTTGGTGATGAAGGTTCCAATCACACAAGGGACCATGACCACGCCCCTGGACTTACCCAAAAGACGATGTTGTAGCTGAAGAGCAGGTACTTGTACCAGCAGCTGACCTCGGCGTTCGAATATCTATAATAGTGCATCTTCTGAGAAGCAGGACCTGCAGGGACAGTGACTGATGAGGCACAGTCAGCTTCAAACCTGCTCCCCAAGTACAGACAGACCAAGGGCCCCATTCACCTTCCAAAAATCTCTACTGTCCCCTCATGTCCATTTGTTCATCCAAACACAAATGTACTAGCAGTGCCAACTAGAGACTAGACAACAATCGGCTGAAGTCAGCTTCCACAAGAGAGAGAAATTTGAAAAAAGGGAGGAGGACAATGTTTAAGTGTCTTCAGAGTATCAGAAATTCTGTTTAGAAGCATTTATCTCAACTTCTTCTCAGCTGTGTATTGATTATTCCACCCCATGCCAAGGACACTGGAGTTCAGAAAGGTCATGTGACTTTCCCAAAACAAGGAGGATAGACAGTGGTTTACACCTGTAACCCCAGCTTTTGGGAGACTGAGGTAGGAGGACTGCTGTGAGTTCCAGGCCAACTTAGGCTACACAGTGAGACCTTACCTCCAAAAACAAATCTATAAATAAGAGGGTAAGGACAGAGCCCAGAATCTGAACCACAGAGAGCAGATTCCACTATCCATATTCTTTTATCCACCATAGCCAACGAGGAAATGCAGACTTGATTATAGGAAGCCCCAGTGGGAAGAAAACTGAAAGATGGGCAGGCTTGTGCAGGATCCACACATGGGGTCAACACAGAAAGACGATTAAGGCTCCATGTTCATTTGCCTGTTTTTTGAGACAAGCTCCCAGACTCAGCGTGTAGAGAAGTGAGTAGGCCCCTGAGGCCCACAGCAGCAACCAGCATTCACCCTCACTCCATCCTGCTTTCTACCTGCTACCCCTATCTACCATGACCACAGCTTTGGCCTCTTGGCCAAATACAATAAATCTGGACTATACTGTCCCTGTGGGAACACTCGAGGCGCTGTGAACAGTCTAAGTTGTTTCTTATCTGTCTGTTCAAAATATTCAGAGGCAGGCCACCAGGGTTACTTTCATTTATCCATCACCCTCAGGAATAGAACACGGATGGGTCATGGGACAGGGTGGGGTCCTCAAGCTGAAAGAAGAGGGCAGGATCTGAGGCTCCAGGTAGTAAGGGGGTACTACCACCCCCTAAAACCACCACCCCACATGTACATGCAGACAAGCACACTTTCATGGGTAGAAGACACCAGATTTAGGACCAGGACCCAGGACAAGACCAAATAAGGCCACCCTGGCAGTGAGGAGACAACCCCTGTACCCAGACACCTGAAAAAACCAACTTCACAGCCTTCCTGAGAAAAGGTTATTTGCAAAATCAGTTCTAAAGAGGTAACCATCAGAGTGCAGCTGCTGGCTAGCAATCTTGAAAAAACTGCACAAAGAAAGGAGATGAATCCACATTCCTCTAGAAATGGGCCCTGTACCTACTCAGTCCCGCTCTAAAGTATGCAATCCACGTGTACTGTCTAGACCTCACCACTCACTGACTCATCCCACCTGCTCCAGCTCCCAGGAGAGATGTGCAAGGCAGCAGGAGGTCCCTCAGCCACCCAGTGCCTGACATCTGTCTCCTCATCACCCCACTACCAGAACACTTCCAGGACACTGCCCTCTAGGAATGAGAGGGAACACACTATCCCGGGTGATCAAGGGCTCTGGACATCAGGCACACAGCTACAAGCATGAGCACCACAGAACCACATCAGCAACAACAGGGAGAAATTCGAACTCTCTCAGGAAAGGCACAGGCACCATTCTTCACAGAATGGCCCCACCCAATCAAGTTCCTGCCCCACTGAGGCCTCAGGGTCCTCAGCTGAAACAGGCCATGTATGACTAGTCCCTGGTGCCACCATGAGGGCCTCACCTAACATCATCAGTCTGCCTCACATTCTACAGATCCCAGCCTCCCTACCATTCTGTGTAGATTTGGTTGGGCTTTGAATATGTGTCAACAAGTTCTTGGGTGACTAGCCCACAAGGCCAGATGCATGCCTGGTGCAGCAGCTATTATACACCAGAGGACTGTTGTCTCTGTGGGGACCCTAGGAAGACAGAAAAGCCCTGCTGTCTGGGTGTAGCACCTTGGCAGGCTATAATGGACCATGCAGATACCTAACCAGTGAGGATATTTCCCAGAGCACAAGGGTTGTCTGTTTCATTTGAGGATATTTGTGGGGAGGGAATGATAATTAGAAAGAACTGGACTGTCCTTTGTAGGAAAAAAAAAAATAAACCTAGAACCCATTAAAACCAATCCACTTAGCTATTGAAATGTGCTAGCAAAATGTCCCAAGTGCTAGGAACTCTGTCCCTCTTAGAGACAAGACCATCCTGTCCTCAGAGCACCAAATATACCCCTTCTTCCAGGGTTCATGGAGAAGCCAGGGGAAACAGGTCACACAAGCACCCAGATGTTCACAATTCCTATATGGACACAGTACTCCATGACCACCATTTAGCCCAGCAAGGATAAGAACTCTAAGCCTCCTCTTTCTTCTCACCAGCAAACACTGTCTGCTTTGCCTGGTGATGTTGATTCACACCCCATGCTCCACCTCCAGGCCCTCATGATTATCCTGTGGTGACCAAAGACCATCACATTACAAATCCCAGTCTCCTTCAGTTCTAGCCAGTTCAATATGGAGAACACAGACACACAACACAGGAGACCACCCCACAGGAAAAACAGCACTCTGGAGTGCTGTAGATTCTCCCTATTCAGGGTGCTGTCTTCTCTCCCCATCTGGTTCACCCCCTCCACCCCACAAGCCCCACAACCAAACAGGAAGCAACTCTGTCTGCACAAACCAGACACTGCGGTCCAAGCCCTCATCAAAGAACGGCAACAGCCAAGACCTAATTAAACCCCCCCCCCCCCCCACACACACACACACGTGTAGTGACTTCCCAACACTTGGCACCTCACTAGCATCAGGTCCACCCAGCAGTGGCCACACACTCCCTAACTGTCCAGGGCACAAGGTATCACATTCATACAGCATGTCCCACCTGCCACTTACAAACCAAGAACATGCATGAGCATCATGTCATTTCGAAGGAAATGACAACTCAGGCCCTGGGGTAGGAGTGTCCTCCTGATGGTATTTATTTCCACATCCCCAACTCCCAGGAAGGGAAACTGCTTCATGGGAAATAAAAATTCGGCCATTCTCCACCCTACTTCCCAGCCCTCTGCCATGAGTCTCAGGAAGGGGAAAATGGTGGTGGCCTTGGGATCTCCTTTAGGGGCCTTTTCTCTCCTGCTGGCCAGAAGCCTAAAGACACATTTTACAGCTTACACTGAAGAACAATAGGAATACTTTTTTTTCAGCCCAGCCTAAACCTGTCCTCTACAACAGGGCACGATGGTCTTTAGCAAAGCTAGGCCCCCAGCTCCTCAAAACTTCAGGGGCAGAAAAAGTACTGAGCACTCATGAGCCAGCTGCCCAGGCTCTCCCCACATTCCCAGCTGTGAGGACACTAGAAACTAGAGCTGACCCCAAATGACTCCAAAGTGTCCAGGGTCCCTGCCATCTCACCTCATGAGCAAAACACAAGAGTGAAGGCAGACCTTTGCCAAGTACCAACCCTGTTCAGATGACATCAGTACTCTTTACCTTAACACACACACACACACACACACACACACACACACACACACACACACACACACACAGAGACAGACAGACACTGACAGAGACTGACCAATCTTGGCTTCCTAAAAGTCAATAAACTATTCAGATACCAACAGACTTAGCAGAGAAGAATCTAAAACTACTTTACATGCATCAAAAACAATGATCAAGACCTCAACTCTGAACTCCCAGAACTTACAGATATAAAATAAAGCATTTCCATGGTAAACAGGAAAGGTAGAATTACTTTAAAGTGTTGAGCAAGCTGATTAACAGTTTGAGGGGGATTAAATAGGCAAAAATCAATCTAAATATTTAAAGGGCACACTACACATGCAAGTGCACACACATTCTGGAGAACGGGGTATTCAGATCCTTCTCCCCCTTAACCATCTTCTCTTTTGAGGCAATAGGAGGCGGGGTGTAAGAAAGTATAAGATTATGGCCAAATTTCCACAAGATTAAGTTACATTAAAATAATAAAAGAAATATAAATTATGAAAGCTTTCAGAAGGTAAATGTTTGTAACAATGACTCATACCCAACAAAACAAAAGACTAAAGCTTACAGTAAACAATGACTATGGACAGTATATAGAAACGGAAGGGCAGCATAACTTACAGATGCAAAACATTCTCTATCACTGAAAATAAAATCTACAGACTATCCAGGGGCACTAGTTCATACTTTCAAATTTAAGAGAATGTCACCACTACTAGTGCAAGCATATCTGCACATTGCAGGCAGCAGATGGATGTTACTACCCTCTGGAAAGCCAACAAACAGTTACAGAAATTAAATCTGGTCACATCCTTAATCCAATAAACTCAGGGCTAAGAATTGCCTCATGAAAATAAGTCAGCAGAAGAAAACCAATACGCATTAAGTATGAAACGTGAACATCATGGTTTGCTATTACGGAACAATCTGTAGGCATGTTATTAAAGGCCAAATGGAAAACCAGAGCAAGAAAGGGGTTGCATGGCGTGGTCCTGTAAGTGATTTTCCAAAAAGGTTTCCACCATCACACTCGCCGTTACCATCTTGGCATTATAAACACTGATGGAGGCCACTGTGGGGGAGTGGAGTGGTGAGCCACAGACATCAACAGGGCTCCCGATTTGACAGTCATAGTAAAGCTGCAGCAATCTTCCCCACTGACTTTCTTAATTAAAAAAATTAGCACCTGCTCAACTATAAAATATTTCCAATTCTGAAGAATGAAAGTGAACTGACAGCAAGACCAGTAGACCATGGCTTTTCAACTGGTATACTCGAGCCCGGACTGTCTCCTACAGGCTTATGGTTTGTATTTGTTTGTTTGTTTTGGGTTTTTTGAGGCAGGGTTTCTCTGTGTGGTTTTGGTACCTGTCCTGGATCTCACTCTGTAGACCAGGCTGGCCTC